AAAAAATGAACTTAAATTATTTTAGCATATGGCTGCAATATAACAAAGTGAAAAATTTAAGGGGGTCTGAATACTTTCCGTACCCACTGTATTTTTCACAAAAAGTTACATTTTTTACTTCATAATTTAATTTCATTCTTAAGAATTCGTTAGATTGGTATATCCCATTTAAATTTTGAAATGTACATCTTTAACCTTGGGAGGAAAAGGAAATAAAGTATATTCTTTCCTTCTTTTTTTAAGTCTGCATTTCCAAATTCCTTATTTAACAGGGTTTAGATAGCAGATATGTAAGATATTTCTAAGGACTCTGTTGGTACCTTTACTGTCACAGAAATTCATCCCTCCTATGCAGAGCTGCCTCGGCCCAGGGGGAAACTCTGGCGTGTAACATGTTTTCTTTTTTTAAACCATTGCTCTTACAGAGATTGCATGGGATGTTAATGTCAGTTCTTTCTGAACATGCCCTCAGAAAACCACTCCTTAAAAAGATTAGTTTGTTTTGTTTCCACATACTTTCTCATAATGCACGAATGTATGAATGAAGATTTTTATTGTCAATTCACTATAAGTGCAGGACATACCGAAAATCAAAATACTTTTTTCTCTCACCTAGTATTGAATGCCACACCATTTAGGAAACTAAAACAGAATAAAAGTAGAGTACAAATAAACTAAAAAAGAATAAGAAAACTGAGACAAATGATTAGAATAAAGCTAAACGGTACAACCTAATAGGCTATGACTCAAACCATGTACAATTAATGACAGTAGTGCAAATAAAAACAAGAAGATTGTCAGATGGTTGTGACATTGAGATGCACATGGACAGTAGTGCAAATGACCGACAGCAGCAGATTTGACTGTAAAAACAGTCAAGCAGCAGATTTATATATAATATAACAAGAAGGGGGGATGTACTGGGTTTGTGCAAAACAGCAGAGGTAGTCTTTTTATGTTCTGTGGTGGGTTACAATCCAGGGGCAGGTAATTAACAATAAACGAGAAGCTGGTCTGTCTGAAAACGGTGAGCTGCAGTTTTAGTTAATCTTTTTTTTTTTTTTAAGGTAACAAATGGAACTACATTTCTCTGTTTCGGCTTTTATTTTGGTTTTCTGTAAGCGAAAGCTGTGTTGTGTATTTGTGACTTGACGCGATTACTTCTGGGGTTTGAAGCTGCTTCAAGTCAAACTGATGCTTTATAACAAATTTATTATCGGTGTAAGTAGTAGTGTGACATTGACCTATCCCCATGTAGTACTGTTCTGAATTGTTGTAGCTTTATAAAAACTACATGATGAAATCCAAAACTACGGAAGCCTTTTTGTTCGGCCAGGACGCAGAGGTCACCGGAACCCGGAACATCAACAGAGCAAACAAAGGCGGCGAGTGGGGAGGTAAAGTCGGTTCGTTCCACTTCTGGGTTCTGCGGGCATGTTCTTCGTTTCATTGCCCACAAACGGTCTACTGATGGCGGCTCTCAGTCTGTTCCTGACCCGCCTGTCCTGCTCCTCGTTGTCGGTCCCGGACATCCCCCACATCGCCGCTTATTTCGGCACAAAGACCCGGTACGAGGAGGTGAACCCGCACCTGCTGCGGGACGTTTTATCCGTCAATACATCCGTCCTAAAACCTCCTCCCACCGAGCGGTGCTCCCCGGTCCACCTCACCGCGGTCATCAGGCACGGCAGCCGTTACCCGACCATCAAGAACGTCCGCAGGATCCAGAAACTGAGCGAGCTGGTCCGGAGAGAAGCTTCCAAAGGCTCCGAGGGCTCCAAGGTCTGGCTGCGGGACCTCCAGAGCCGCTGGGAGATGTGGTACACCGAGGACATGGACGGTGAGACCGCTGGGAAACTGTCCGACCGCTCAAACGGTTTAAACAGAAACATTTCTGCTGAGACTCGGCAGCGTCACAATGTCCACAGACCCAATCACCGTGTCGGAGACATGGGTGCATCGTCGAAGGGTTAGGGTTGGGACTCGAAGTCCACGGGACTCTCTGTGATCAGACTTGTTTAAACTGTTGGGGTGTCTCTTTAAAACGTCCTGATGAACTGCTGAAATATTCCTGACAACATGACTGTAAAGCAGTTAACTTTAGTCTAATAAACACATGTGTCCTCCTCAGGTCAGCTGGTGATGAAGGGCAGGGATGACCTCCGGCAGCTGGCGAGGCGTCTGGCCATCCTGTTTCCATCTCTGCTGTCGGAGGAGAACATGAGGAGGAGGAGGATCAGTTTCCTGACCAGCTCGAAGCACCGCTGTGTGAGCAGCGTGGAGGCGTTTCAGGAGGGTCTGCAGCAGCACTGGGGGGCCCATGGTGAGACTCTCTGCCATCTGACAGATTTCACCTGCTAGCTCTCAGTGTAACACTGTGGGAGCGAAGTGACGCTCTGCTTGCATCAGTCACCGAAACACAGAGCTGATTTTTACACCTATGAGCCAAAACATTCTGACCTTTCACAACCAAAGCGAATAACGTAAACTGTCTCGTAACCACAGTGCAGGAGGAGGTCAGGGACGGACCAGGAATGTGCAGATCTGAGCTACGATCAGACTGGTTGGGACATCTGTGAAACAACAGGACTTGTGGGGTACCCTGACCAGCGGTGGTCCGAGGAGGGGCAAAGAGCAGGCCGGAAACACGGTGTTGTGCTGTGCTGTAGACCTCCACTGTTGTCCACCAGCTATTAAACCCCCCACTGAGCCACACCGCTGCACTCGGGGGCAGGTTTCCTCCTCGGGAAACACGTGGCAGCTCAACAGGCTGAGAATGGCATCACTGTGCACAGAGTTTCTATCCTCTGCTCTGGTTACACTGCCCCGTGGCTCACAGCGCTGTGTGGAGTGTTTCACCTGAGCAGCGTGGGAAGAGCTACACTGAGGTTATACTGTACTCACCGTTTGCTCCCGTGCACCCAGTGGTGCACACCATAGCCAGTTCGTCAGGCATAACCACACTTTAAAGCTGCAACAGTTAGCCAATCATCAAAATAATCAGCTGGCTGTTGTGTGATGTGCTTTTGTTTGGTGATTAGAATAATGTAACTTTCTTTTTAGTCATTTTTGCCCACGATGCCAAACACGTCCTGGTTCCAGACTCTTAAATGTGCAGAGCTGCTGCTTTTCTTTGACGCTTGTTTGGACAAAAAAAAGTTTTAAAACATCACATTTTGGCTGTTGGAGATGATTAATCTACGGAGTATTCTTTGACTAATGGATGGGTTTGACATTTTAAAGACAGAACCACTGATTGGTCGGAACACTGTCCACGTCCTGCTGGGTGGAGGCTGCTCAGCAGCCCTGTGAGAAACTCCTTGTTGAGGCATATGTTGATGAACATATTTGTTGCGCCTCTGCAGATGTCGAGTACAGCCACGAGGTCGACGACAAGCTGATGCGATTCTTTGAGCGTTGCCGTGGTTACGTGGAGGGCGTGCAGAACAACCGCACAGCGCTGCTGGAGGTGGAGAAGTTCAAACACAGGGAGGAGATGGAAGGAGTGAGGAGGAGGATGGCTGAGAAACTGGGTCTTCCTCACCACCGCCTCACACTAGGTCAGACACACACGCGTTTGTCTTTTTGTCTTTGTGAAGACATTCACTGACATAATGCACCACCACTACGTCACTGTCACTGATGTAATTTGCTGGTGGTGATTTTCTGTGTAGTGGTGACAGAATGTTGGTTCTGAAGCTCAGTGAGTTAATGAAGATTGTCCCTGCGTGTCTCCCGTAGATCTGGTTGAAGCAGCGTTCTTCTTGTGTTCCTATGAGCTCGCCATCAAATCTCTTCACTCTCCATGGTGTTTCCTGTTTGATGAGAGGGACGCCAAGGTGCAAACACACTACAACACAACGTACACACACACACACACACACACACACTCAGCAGTCCACATTACTATAGGGCTGTAGGCTGCTTGTTCATGTGTCACTCAGCAGCTCTAACTCCTGTGGACCTGCAGGTGCTGGAGTACAAGTCGGACCTGAAGCAGTACTGGAAGCGCTCCCATGGGCATGTGATCAGCAGTTTGTCCAGCTGTCCTCTCTTCCATCACGTCTTCAGGACTCTTGACAAAGCTGGACGTCCCCGCAGGTTAGTGACAGTGCAGGAAACTTCGAGTTACAGTTTGATTCAGGCCTGATTCAAACCTGCTGTTGTTGCATATCACACAGTTAAGTGCGGTGCAGAGCGCACACATCCTTGTGTCAGCTTGTAACCAGTGTTCGGGTGCATTGTGAACTGGAGTTTAACATGGAAGCACAGTTCTCATTGTCAAACATATGTCCACAGTTTGGCTGCGAGTCCGCATCCTTACTTTAGACGCACCGGGTCACTGATGAGCTGAGTCTGCTCTCACCTGAAGCGTTCACCACGGTCTGCCCCCACCAAGTGCAGAGCGTAGTTTCCATTTGCACATTGTGGCTGTTAGAGCAGTAAATACAGCTGCTGAAACAGTCGAGGACTAAAAATAACTCGACCCTGTCTGTGACACTGCTTTCTACTTATCTCAGCTGTTAAGTGTTCCCAGAGTGATTTCCTTGAGGCCTCGGAGGCGCTGCAGTCAGGTTTCCATCCAAATTTCATGCAAGCCTGGACTGAAATTAGTCCAAATAAAATATGAATGAATTTGCATTTCTATCTGTTGCCGTTCTATGCATATGGTGTCCATCAGGGCCACGGAGGCGCCCCCGGAGCCAGCCTCCATCCTGGTGGGGCACGCCGAGACCCTCCTCCCCCTTCTTTCGCTGCTGGGACTCTACAAGGACCAGACTCCACCAACCGCCAGAAACTACCACTCACAGCACGGTATGAAGCCTCTGTCTCGATAACCAATCATAGATGAGGGTTTGGAGCCTATTCAGCACATGACCCTGAACATGCCTGGATGACTGTTACTTAAACAGTCCCATTATGAATACCAGCAGTGACACATGAGGAGGTTTCTCATCATGGCTCATGTTGTTGTTCATGTTGTCAGATGCATGCATAGTGAGTCCGTAGTACAGAGACTCTTCTCTTTAACACAGTGTTACTTGAATAAAGAAGAGAAGAGCATGTCTGCATGGAAACATGCTAACACCCACATTTAGGCCTGTTTGGGAACTCGTGTGAGGACAGAGATAGGGGAGAGAGGCTCTGTGGAAACTCATCAGTTACAGGCGCTGCTCTTCTACAGACATAGCATTTCTCTCTTGTCATGTCCCACAGGGAGAAGTTTCCGGACCAGTCAGATTGTCCCGTATGCTGCCAACCTGCTCTTCGTTCTGTATGACTGCCAGCGAGGCCCAAGGCTGCAGCTCCTCATCAACGAATCTCCGGTTCGCTTCCCGGGGCTGGAGACAGAGGACAGCCCTCTGTACCGGGATGTCCGGGCTACATACCGTCACCTGCTGGACGGCTGTGACTTCCACACCGTGTGTGAGGGGAGGCCTGAAGGCCGAGGACCAAACACTGAGCTCTGAGCGATGGTGGGAAACAGGTACTGTGATCCACACTGGTACAACCACAGAATCCAGTTCAGACAGAAAAACGCAAATCCATCAGTCCACCTATTGATCTGTGAATACTGGAACCAGTTCAGCTCAAATGGAAAAGATGAGTACATGACGACACGCTGAGGTTCATCCTCATACTCTGATATACTGACACTGCGTCACAGTAAGTGAATCCCCCTCTTTTTGTGCATAAAAATTAAAGTGGAAACACTGGAGAGAAAAAGTGTGAATGAGTGGAAGAAGCGTTTGTGTTCAGTGTAAAAGCCTGGGTGTAAAAATCAAAGTGACTTTTGTGAATAAATGCTGACATACATAAAGCTTGTGACTTAACCCTTTACACCAGAGGACGTTCCTTTAAATTTCACCTGAAAAAAATCACTCGATCAATAACGGCTCCACATCTGTAAGGTTGGAGTGAACAATGTGACTTTTGGTTTAGAATCGCAGAAAGGCTCCGTCGACATCCCAGCTGGAGTTTCACAGCAGTGTGAATAGACCCGATGTGCTCAGACCAGATCTGGGCCACCTGCGCATGTGCTCTTAGACCCGATTCCTCTCCGACCTCTGACTGTGCGAGCGCTGTCACAACGGTCAGATCAGAATTCATGTGGTCGTTTTAACGTCCGCTCCTCTGCAGACCGGTAACAGTAAACATAGAGGAGAGTGACGACAGCGATGGGGTCAGTGGAGAGACCAGGATGTTTCACATGTGGTGGACATTTATGTAGAAGCTTCTGATCAGGCCAAACTGGAAGGAACATATCATAACTCAGCAGTTTGGGAGGAAACTGGACTGTTTGACCGTCACACACATGACCTGGTTGTTATTCTTCGTATTCTGTCTCCCTGTCCCTGGTGGAAAGGGTAAAATGTCGCTTGCTGTGAAGAGATGAAAACCTCAGGTGTGTGTGTGTCGAATGATGAGGAGGCTGTGACCTTCCTCACAGATGAACATAACAGAAATGTCATTTTTCCATCATGTTTTCCATCGTCTGAGCTTCGACCGGAGTCTTTTTAATCACCTCATCTTCTGCAGTCGTTTAATGGCAGCGACTGGAGAATCGGAACCGCCTGCCGTTTATCTGTTTATCTCCATCAGCCGGTCGGCTCAGATTCACGCAGCAGTACGGGGTGGAGACGAGACTTCAGTCAGTTTGCTCTGATTTTCTGTGCTAAACTTCTGAATCAGTCTGTTTCCACACATTGTTGTTTGAATTTGTTGAAGTGACCCTTTACAGTTTTTCTCTATCGCTTTCATTCATTTCTCACAACAGAACTGCATTTCTCAGAACTACTCGTTCAACCGTCAGATTCTGTTGTCAGTTGTTCACATCATATCAGCAATTTCTTGTTGTTTTCATCAAATTGCAATTGCTTTTGGACAACATGCAAATGGTTCTGTACATCTGTCAGCTGTTTTTGACAATTCTTGTTGCTTTTGTCCAGCTGTGCAAAATAACTTGTCCTGGTTCTCAGCTGAAATGTCACAACCACCAAACCAATTAGTCTTTTTTTCAGGTTGGAAGTCTGTACTATCAAAATGAGTGAACATGTTCTCAGAATTGTATGTCTGTACAGATTTCTACAAAGTGTGAGTAGATGTTTGCTAAGAAATATGTCCAGAATTGAGAAATTGCTCTCAGGTGAGTCTTCACCTTCGTTAACGAAGAGAACCACCTCACAACTTCATATACTTGGATGAGGCTGGCTTCAACCTGGCCAAAGGCAGAAGGCGTGGTAGAAATCTAATCGGCCAGAGAGCTACTGTTGATGTCCCAGGCCAACGGGGAGGAAACATCACTATGTGTGCTGCTATGTCAGACCAAGGTGTGCTAGCTCATATTCCTATTATGGGACCGTACAACACACAGCATCTCCTTACATTCTTAGACAATCTCTATAGAAATGTCATTCCTGAAGATGAGAGGGACCTCAATCGAGATGATGTACCAAAGTATGTAGTAATTTGTGATAATGTCAGTTTCCATCGCTCTGACATCATCAGGCAGTGGTTTGTCCACCACCGCAGGATGGGAAAGATTGTGGTTTTTGTTTAGGACACTACAGGGTTAATTATTTATGATTATTTATTCAGATTTTTATGGTCATGTTTGTTTTTCTCTGGTTGGGCAGCAGGACGTCCTGCAGTGATTTAAACTGATTGTTGTTCATGTAAAAGCTGGTGTCGGATTTCACGCTGTGCTTTTTGGTATTTATTGATTGCTGAAAGATGCCAAAAGTTTTTAATTAAAAGCTTTAATAAACATTTTTTCACAGTTAAAATGGAACAAAATGTCTTGTTTTCACTTTGTCAGGTGAACCTGAAGTTTACACAGTTTTGTAACTTTGATCTTGTAAAGAAAAATCTGCACAAACCTTTAATGCATCAGGACCTTATTTTTTATTAAAATAGTTTTGATATGCATCGGCTCTTCAGAAACAGTTTCATCTAATTCAGACAAACCTGAGATTTAAACAGTGGAACTGAAATATTATGAAAAAGGCCATTTATTTACAACAAAGCATTAAATATGAACAGATGTAGTTTTATGACAAAGCTGTAAAGATCAGTTTATGCATCGATAAACATGCACTGTCATCAAAGTTATTAGTTCTTTTAATATTTGATAAGATATTTTAGCAAAAATGGTCACAGTTGAATCATTAAAATGTAAGTGTTCACATTTTCACTTATTGCTCCATTTGCCTGTATTTTGTCTAAAGCTGACTTAAGTCTCTAAAAACTGGATTTGTCTTGTTAAAATATGACAACAGCAACATTTTTTCAGATTTTTTTTTTTTTTTTACTTTTGCCATTTTGTAAAATGTGAAAATCATTAGCCAAAATGATCAGTTGTTTATAATACTGTATATGTTTTTAATGTTTCTTACCATACATTACTACAACCATTTTAAGATCTTAATGTTTAAATACATTTCATAGGGGTCCCTGATGCACTAGTGGCTAGGACTCAGCGCTCTTGCCGCTGCGGCCCAGGTTCGAGTCAGGGTTGTGTCAGGAAGGGCATCCGGCGTAAAACGTGCTAAACTTCAACATGCAAGTTGTTAGTGTGGCCATTTACTGTGGCGACCCCTGACGGGAACAGCCGAAAGTAACTTTTAATGTTTAAATACATTTCATCATCCAGTCAGAATTAAAACATAACAGGCACAAACCTACACTTTAAAAATAAAATCAATTAAGGACGCTGTGATTTACACAAATCATCAGTGAGGCAGAAAATTTTAAATGTTCAATTTCAATTTGTTCATGTTTTTTTTTTTTCTGTTTTCCATCATAGTAAAACTAAACAGTTTTGAACTGTTGCTCAAACAAAACAAATGGCTCAATGTCCCCCAGGACATTTTATAAACCAAACTATTCCTCAGCAAATGAAGGAAATCATCGCCGGTTGCAGCCCTGCTGTGCGTCATGACAGAAAAAAACACAGTCGAGTCTTTTACTCTGCACGTTAAAACATCAGAATAAGATATTGATAATAAAGTACACTTAATGAAAAATATGGAAAAGTGATAGCACAGTTTCAAACAACATGTCCACAACATGTTTGCATTTTTTATTTTACAGTGTAAATGTTTTAGAACACTTTACCTTATAGGATCAATAATTTTACAAAAATTTTCCTTGGACATTTCCCAGAAAGAACTTGAAGTAAATAAAACTATTACAGGTAATAAAACAGTGTTCAACTGATAATCACTGAACTGATTCAAAGTAGTAGTTGATGTAACTGAGACTTCAGAGCACTGGCACTGAACATGAGAAAATAGGTACAGGTGTCAATAAAAACACTGAATAATGGTTTCCAATAAATAAACTATAGGGTTAAATTAATACCAAATGGCATAATCACTGAGTATATTATTGAGATACTTAAAAAAAATTACTGACTCCTAAAATATAGTGTTTATTTCCTAATAATTTTGAATTATTTACTTGAAATTAGTATAACTTGTTCTAGCTTGTTCTCACAGTCCATTTTAATTAACTTCCAGTGCCTTATTTTCAGTTATGCTCTTGTGATATCTTATTACTGTTGTCAACTGTGGGGCTTCATAATTTCATATTACTTACTGAAAAAATAAAAACAAATTGTCAAAACACTTTTAAAACCAGTAATTAACAACAAATCGGTTTTCCAGGAAACCTAGGAAATTATAGGCTTAATGAAAAGCTTTGACATCCTGCGGTTCCACTAGTGTCCACTAGAGGCCACTGTGACTGCATTGAAGTGAATGAGAAAACCTCTCTTCATACTAAACCCGTGTAGTTGGGTTAGACTCTTCAGACTCAGGGAGGGTTTTCACAATGAAAGTACCAGAGATATTTCATCACTCAGCTTGTTGATCTTTGCAGAACTCAATGCAAAAATTTAAATGTGACTCACGTTTTCATTTTGGAGCAGTTTAGTAGCTGATTATGATGAAACTCTGGTGTCCCAGGATGGCGGTGTCTCTGTGGCAACAGCTGCTGAGCCTTGTAGCTACTGTAGTATCGGACCAAACGGACGTTGGGTCTGCACTGGAGGCGTTTTACATGTATGTAAGTGCTCAACAGAAATCCACCTAAATGACAGTTCACTAGTTCCAACCAGAATTCCACCAAAATAGAGAAATACGTCAGGTAAACATTTAAACTCGTGCTACATCGCTCCTACTGAACACATGGTTCTTTCTTCTGGCCTTGAGGAATTCAGAATAACCCAGAAAACATCAGTCTTCGATTCAAGTCTGGTGATGATCTGTTTTTTTTTTGTTTGTTTGTTTAAAGTAAAAGTATATTGTGAGCTATTTTTTTTAAAAGATCGACACGTTTACAAATTAAATCAACTCCCAAACAAATTTTAGTCATTTAAAGTAGCAGGAAAAGAGCTAATAGGGGGAGTATACATTTGTGAGCTGTTTCTTTTTGATTTACATCTCCCAACAAGTAAAAAGACAAACATGGGAAATACAGACCACCACCAGATAGAAAATCAAGCAATGATGAAGGGATGAGTTACTGTCTGATGTAAGGAGGTCACTGCCTGCAGACTGGGTCAGTAACAGTGGGACTCGTGTTTGTCGTCATCTTTAAAAAGAATCTTTACTAGGCCAGTTTATTTACAGTGAACACAGCAGCAAAGCTAATAATGAATTATCTCACCTCAAAAACTGCAGCTCGAGCTACACGACTTTACAACTCTATGATTTTACTTTTAGAAACAGAAATTTAGTTTATTTCAGGATCATCACTTGACTCTTAAACCAGCGACACGCGAACATGTTCTTCTGTTTCTGAAAGTCTGAGACACAGACGCCATCAGCATCACGATCAGTCACTTTAAATAAAACAAAAAGCAGTGGCACATGTTGAAGATACTAACATGTGGAGACAGCAGGTCAGTTTGCACACTGAGCTGATGAACAGGGTGGGAATCAAACCCACGACCACAGAGGTCAGCACATGATTGTTGTGTTCAGTCTAGAGCGACGTGCCGCAGGACGTTATGTCCGCCCGCCGATTTCGATTCCTTCATCTTACTCATGGCCTTGTGCAGGTCGGACTGAAGGATTGGACGGATGAAGTCCTCGGTTGGACTGAGAAAGACAAACAGGAAGAGCAAGAGCGTGTTTAGAGCTTTTTACACTTTAAAACCTTTGGCACACTGTGCACCAATGATGTCATATTTTGTGTTCATAATTCAGATACATGCCTCCTCATGTTGACATATGGATGGGACCAGCTTAGTGCGGGTACATGTATATTAGATTATGTGTGTCACTACAGAGACTCTGACTCTGGGTCACAGCTGATAAACTCCTCACTAACCTTCGCATCATATAGGGACCGATGGGACCGTCCTTGGTCGACTGAAGGCACCTGCTCTGATGCTGTTCATCTATAAACTGCCTCAGTTAAGAACGGGGCTAATGCTCCAAGTAGACCTCACATTTTTGCATTTCAGAAGCTGTATAAACATTTCTTTTGCGTGTTAGCCTAACAGTAAACATGCACTGCCAACTCTTATGACCCCAGTAACTGCAAGAAGTGCTGAACTGGACGTCAAACGGTTGACTACCTGTCGTTCTGAGTGTGGACGAAGTCTCGGACACAGAGCAGCGCAGCATCACGACACATCTCTCTGAGGTCACTTCCTGAGAAACCGTCCGTTTCCTTGGCAACGTCAATGAGATTGACTGACTGGTCCACCTGCACAGAGAGGTGATCAGAAACCAATGATACCATCAAGGTGGTGGCGTGAACACAAGCAGTAAAATTTCCAGGTCAGCAACAGTTTTGACTCAGTACTGTAGTAACAATAGTATGAATCTACAAATGCAAATAAGAATTATGGTGGCTCGTGTTTTTTGACAGCGCTAGCACTGTCAAACATAGAAATGATAGGAAGATAGTCATTCAGAATCAGAAAATCATGAAAATGCTGGTCCTTATGTTCGGCAGTGGACTTACGCTCTCGTTCTCCAGGATCAGTCGGAGGATCTGCTCTCTCTGCCTCCCACTCTGCAGGAAAAACAACATGAACAGTGTTTATGATCAGACTCAGTCATTTCACCTGCATGGCATGCTTCTGCTTTAAGTAACACGTACGGGCTGCTTGATGTGGAACCTGGTGGGCATCCTCCTTAGAATAGCAGAGTCCAGGTCCTGAGGTCTGTTAGTGGCTCCCATTATGATCACCTGACAGAGATGCAGGCATTCCATTACTACATCACAGATGTGATCAGATGCTTGTTTTATTGTTGTCATAAGCTCTTTAGGCAGTTTGTATTCAGACTTGTATCAAAATTAATCCTTCCCCAACTTTAGGCATTTTAATGTTCAGAGCTGGTTTTAAGGTATTTTAAGGTATTTTTTTTGTCAGTATATTTTTATGCTGCCATCTCGGCCAGTCTCCCTCACAAAAGAGGTTTCCAGCCTTAGCAGCACATACATCGTTTGGGTAGAAAGGTTAATAATAATTCAACTTATGACCTGCCACAGTTCAACAAAGCCTAATAAAAAAAAAGGGCTTTTATTTCCATCCATCAGGTGCAAAACACCTGGCAAGGATCCAAAGTTTTCACTGGAAGCTGTGTCTGGTTCGTTAAAGCTGTGTTAACCTGCAGTGTGTCGGGCTGGAGAATCTGTGCGCGTTTATACCCAGTATGCACCTGGCATTGGTGGTCTGTGTCCAGTCCGTCCCACAGGCTCATGAACTGGGCTTTCATCATGGCCGTGGCTTCGTGGTCCGAGCTGAAGCGACTCCTGAGGAACGAGTCTGAGGAAACACACCACACATATTTTCAGGCCTGTTTTCTGTTTCACTTTTCAGTTATCATCTGGCATGTGTTTCCAACAGCTAAAAGGTGCAGCCGGTCACGTGTAGCCCCGCCCCCAGACAGCAGGATTGAACGCTGCGGTCAGCAGCCCCACTTTGACTGACAGGTTGAACTGTTCATGTTCAAGTGTGTGTGTGTGTGTGTGTGTGTGTGTGTGTGTGTGTCTGTGTGTGAATACTCCACCTATTTCGTCAATGAAGATCATTGATGGCTGCAGTTTGACAGCCAATGAGAACACGGCAGCGGCCAGTTTCTGGGATTCTCCGTACCATTTGTCCATCAGCGTGCTCGGCTGCAGGTTGATGAAGCGAAACCCCGCCTCCTTGGCCGTCGCCTTGGCAATCAGCGTTTTACCGCAGCCAGGGGGCCCATACAGCAGCACACCTGTTACCATGACGACAGGCAGGGAATTATAGCCTGGATACAGGACTGTCTGCCATGTTCTACTTTCCTTCCTTCCTAATCTCCCCAGTGTGTCCTTTGCCCACTTCTTTCCCTCCTTCTTTCCCTCCTTCCTTATTGGCATTCTTCTTTTCGACTTGTTTCGCACACTATTAAACATTATTTTAAAAGCTGAATTTGTAATGTAGCTCCTTTGGTCACTTCTTCTGTCTCATGTATTGATCATAATGTAACTGTACAAGTTCATGTTCTGGTAATAACCTAAAAGTTATTAAATAACGTGAATGAAGTGATGACCCTGTCTCTGACCTTTAGGGGGCTGCAATAGTCTGGATCCATGGAACAGGTGTCTCTTCTGAACAGGTAAGATAACCGTCTCCTTTAACTCTGTGATCACCTCATCCAGACCTGCGATGTCTCTCCAGGTGATCTACACACAGCCACAGCGTCATCATTTAGATTTAACAGTAGTAGCACTTTAAAGACACAATGCTTTGTGGTTTACACAAGTACAATACATATTTTAGTCCTATTTTTACAATTATACTTTCAATGGACATAAATGACAAATGCATTTTTAAGGGAGGAATTTTAAGTTGTCTGTTCATATTTTCATTTTCTCTTTTGCTGTGTGAAACTTGTTGAACCTGTTTTGAAAAAGAACATAGCTGACTAAATGCTACCTGCATGCTCAGCGGGTCGACCAGGTGGGCTGCGATGCTCATCTCGTATTCAGACAGTTTCACATTTTTAACACCGATCTGACGCATCAACTTCTCTGCCTGAAAGAGAGAGAAACAATGTTCGTCTCCTTTAAACAGTCAGTTTGTACGGAGGCTCTTTTTTTTTTTTTTTTTTTTAACTTAT